GAAGATCGAATCAGTCACTCTTGACAGTTTCATAAGCACTTTATTAGCCAAAGAAAATCAGTGTAGTTGTTCAATTAGCAATTAAACACTTGATGGCACGCGCTGGCATACTTTATGCAGATTATCTTTGTATTCGTCTGTCGGTCCTTTCCCCAGCGCGATCATCATGACTTTGTTCTTACCGAAGAAGAACCTGAAACATAACACTCAAGTTCAACCTTAAACTCTGCGAAATCCTAAAATAACACTTAAAAACAGTGGAGATTGTGTGTTTATACCGGCTGTGTTTCCAGGCCGTCCTGATGTCTTTTAGTTTGTTGTTTCTCATGTTTTCTACTGAGAACACAAACACGTATCTGTAGATGTCTGCACATTTCCGCAGCTGAGAAGGGGGAGAAAAAGAAAAAAGATATTTTAATCGATCACAAAACTATTGTGATGATATTACATATTTAATTTAGGCCTGGAAATAAGCAAAAACAAATCAATCTTATCAAGAGGAAATAGGCCTATATCAGATTCTGTACTTCTTAAGGTCCCTAATAAAAACACAGAAGAGATTTTCTTGTTCTAAAGAGCATCTTGAGCTTCAGTGGAAGCATCTCAAATCATGCTGGAGAACATGATCATCAAGTTTTGTTCATATCAGTGCTGCTGTCATTCCCAAGCACTTCAAAGAATACCACGGTATGTTTGTAGTGTCACCCAAAAGAGCAGTGAAAAGTCATACTAACCTCTTCAATCAGATTTTGCTTGGCTTCCAACCCCTTCTTGGTTGTTTTGGTTAAAGAAACTGTTAAAAGCAACATTAATGATAGTACAAGAAACATTAACAAATTCTAACAGACTCAGCTGCTCCAATAACATTAATAAATTACACTAAAATGAATTACAGTTTAACAACGCAGTTTAACTTAAGTCTGAGCAGCAAGTAACAAACATGATTTTATTTCAGCTCGAGTCATTTTAATGTATATCGTGTAGAGTTCAAGTGATAAAACAAACTAAAAGATGAAATAACTACCTTTTTTGTCCCTCTTGGATTTCGGCATGGTTCTCACGTTGTGGCTCTCTGTATTTTCTTCTTCGCCTGATGATCTCCGAGCGCTTCACAGTCTGTGAGGAATCACACCGCCGCCTAGTGGTGTTCGCTGGTGCCTCATGAATATTAATTAGAGCAATAGACGAACTCTATTGGATGGTTCGCATGGAATAATTAATATTCATAAGCTAAGACGACCAAGGAGAACTGTTATTAGAGGACCGTTATATCGTGAACCAGCAGGAGGCGCAGCATGAAGACACGTACTGTACGACTTTGTACAGTAACTTTCTCTTATTTCTGATTGTATAAAATAACGTATTAGTCAATAAAGATACACAAGTTTCTTTTTAAGGTTTTTATTGTTTTACAGTATGCATTTATTGTTTAACATTATGCATTTTTTTTCTTTTTTTTACTCCGGTAGGCTACTCTATTTTTTATAGTGAAATATTCCCTGACTTTTGCAGTTAATTAAATGAAATCCTATCTTTTTAATTTCACTTAAGCAGGATTTTGACTACTTTGATTTTTGACTTTAAACGAGTAGCCTAATGTTGCTGCAGCACCCACTTTAACATCATTTCTTTGTAGTTTTCTGCTGCTGTTAAACAGCTCAGTAAACGACCAGAACTGGTTATTTCAACACGTCTGTGAAGTCTCCCTAAAAAGACCTTTTCCCAGACACCTAAAACTCATTAGAAGAACTGTCTCTTTTTGTTATAGATTTATGTGAGAAAGCATGGATTCACGTGGGCACTTAACACTTGAATAAAAGGATTTGTAGCAGACATGATTGCATTCCCAAAAACTTAGATTTTTGCATACTTGGACTGTCTATTCAAAACAATTGAGCAAATTACAGATGATCCTCAGAAATCCTTGGGTGTGTTTTGTGCACATGTGCAGAGCTGCTTCAAGCCAGGGCAGGTTTAAGGTGCAATGCTTGTGTAATGTCTGATTCTATTCATCAGTCATTTGGTGAAATGCAAACAGAGCTTGTGTTGCCGCAACATGCAAAAGTGAAAATAATCGCTTCAACGCCTTCCTTAATTTGCCTAAACTTATTCTGCTGATGATTTTAATTTATGGCTTTGCTAATGAGCTAGCTCTCCCTTTCACATTTAATATCGATCATTAATATTAATAAAGGTATGAACCTTTCAACTCTGATTAATGAGCCTGAATTAATCACAGATTTGCATTCAGTGAACTAATTATGTTTTTGCAATGAGCAAAACCTGAAAAATGTTACTTTGTTGCAGTCAGAAAGCAGATAAATGCTAAATATATAAATGAAATAATTATATATATATATATATATATATATATATACACACACATTTGAAGTGAATCAAAACCTTTCATCAAAATTGTCCTAAAACCTAATACCAAAATGCGTTCTTGTCAACTTGAAATGCGTTCTTGACTACAATATATATATATATGTGTGTGTGTGTGTGTATATATATATATATAATATTTGCATTAAAAAAATGTAATTAGAAACCTATTTACAGATAAAAAATAAAAAATAATATATTTTATCAATATTAATAGGCTTATGCTATTATTAATAGTTAATACATTATTAAACATTGATAAAATATAAATTTGATATATTTAGATGCAAAATGCAATCATATAGTTTGGCAAAATAATATTATTGATAGTTAATTCATTTTTAAACATTGATAAAATTGTAAATTGTATATTTTTAGATAAAAGTATATATTTGATCAATATTATTATTAATGTTATGAATAACTGTTTACTTAATAAATAGCCTATAGAAAAACATCAACTGTATTTATTTAGATAAAACACCAGTAACATCACAAAAAATATTTTTTTGTGGATCGTATATGATTTATGATTCATAAATGCATTATTAAACATTGATAAAATATCCTGAAGCATCTTGTATGGTAGTTATTTTTATTTTTTTATTATTTTAACGATTAGTTGACTTAACGCGCTAGTATGGCAGAGTGTCTTTTTAAAATCAGATTATAATAATCCACACTTGCAGTTTTAAGAAATAAAACGTGCTGGAGTTTGTTTGAGGGGGAGATGTTGCCAAATTCCTGCACTCCCCTCTCTGTCTCTGTCTCTCTCTGTCTGTGTCTGTCTGTCTGTGTGTGTGTGTGTGTGTGTGTGTGTGTGTGT